TTCTCCTCTTTGCTTTTGGGTGAATGTTGACCTTTTGGGCTATATAGTTGATTGTTTAAGGGACTACATTACTTACAGGTGACAGTGTTTACTTTATAAACCAATCTATTATTTGGCTGAATGGTGACCTCTGGGAGTAGTTTCAGTTCCAAGTTCAAAGGGTTTCTTAGAGCAATACTCTCAGGGATTCTCCAGTCTCTATAAGTCCAGTAAGTGGCCTTTTTTAGGAACTTGAATTTTGTTCTGTATTTTTCTCCTATTCTATCTGGAATCTTCTACTGTATCCCTGGTCAGAACGGTTGGTAGTGGTAGCTGGACACCATCTAGTTCTAGTGTCAGGCTAGAAGAGCCCATGATTTATGTGGGATATTTGTCCTATGGACTTGTTTGTTCTTTGAGTCTTTTGTTTCCTTCATTCTCATTTGCTCCAGATGAGTAGAGACCAATAGTTGTATCTTAGATGGCTGCTTGCAAGCTTTTAAGACCCTACAGTCACCAATCCAGGATGTAGAACATTATCTTTATGTACTGAGTTTCCACAAATCTATGTTCCTAAGCCTCCCCCTCCCCATTAACTGTTTGTTTTTTTTTTTTTTTTTTTTTTTTTTTTTGATTTGGGTGAAAGTTTACAGACCAAATTCATAGATAGAGGCCAAGGATGCTGTTAAATATCCTACAATGCACAGGACAGCCCCTACCACAAAGAATTTTTGGTCCAAAATGCTAATGCTAATAGTGCTGAGGATGAGAAACTTTGGACATATTATCTTATTAAAAAAAAAAAAGTCCTTATTTGCCAATTAAATTATTGCCTTTATAAAAAATCCAAGAGATTTAACAAACACCAGCCACTTCTTGCAAGGAAAGTTGGGCAATCTACTTCCATAGTGATACCGCCTCAGAAACCTAAGGAGGGGTTGCTATGAGTCGGGTCAGACTTGACAGCACATAACAACAACAACAACAATAAAACTGAAGAAAGACTCAGCCATGTGCTTGGAAATAATATCTATATACAAGAATCAACAGCATTTTTTATACCACAAATAAATATTAGAAAATATCATTAAAATAAGATTAAAAAGCTGTAAATTATCTAGGAAAAAAATTAAACAAAGGATATGCAAGATACTCATTTTTTTAAAAAAAAAGTAAACAATATGGACAGGAAGACATCAATATCAGTTGTTCCTAATTATTTTATCCACAAATTTAATGAAATTTGGCTCAAATTCTCAATAGATTTTTTCATGAAAATGGTCTTAAAATTCATTTGGAAGACAAATGGGCAAAAATAAGTAAAGAAGATGAACAAAGTAAAATTAAGAGTCATTTTTAAGTTTGTTATTGTTGGGGGAAGTATAAAAATAAATTAATGAGCCAGAATGGAAAGCCCTGATACAGTTGTTGTTGTTATGTGCCGTGGAGTTGGACCCAACTCATAGCGACCCCTCCTTGGGTTTCCGAGGCAGTATCACTACGGAAGTAGATTGCCCCATCTTCCTTCCGAGAAGTGGCTGGTGGGTTTGAACCGCCAGCCTTCTGGTTAGCAGGCAAGTGCATTAGGCACTATGCTACCAGAGCTCCCACCCTGATATAGATAGAAGCATATATTGAATAAATTTTATGACAATTGATTATCCATGTAGGGGGAAAATATTGAATTCCTATCTCACACTATACATAAAAGTAAAACTCTAAGTGCAAAAAGAAATACTTTTCAACTTAGAGGAGAAAAGATTATATTTTTGGATAGGGAGGAAATTAAAAAGGCTTAAAAAGCACAAACTATAAAGAAAAGGACTGATGACTCTGGCCACATTGAAATTAAAATTATATATTCAATAAAAGGCATCAGATACAAATCTAAAGAGAAGCCATGGAATTTAGAAAGTATTGCAATGCAAATAATCAAAATGGATTAGTGTCCAGAATGTATGAAGAACTTAGTACAAATCAATTAAATAAATAAATAAATATTAAAAAAAGACTAACAACTTAGTAGAAAAATGGACAAAAAATATTAAGGCAATTCACAAAAGGGAATTGATTGATGGATATATGAGAATGCGCATAACCTACCTACTAGTAGTAGAAATGGAATGTAATACTACAATCAGCTATAACTTTTCATGTTTCTCAATTTTGCATACAAGCTTTCCTCACTTTCAAGGAGTTGTGCTCTCTGAAACTGAGCCTGGACACATAGAGACAGAAAGCAGATAAGTGGTTTTCTGGGAGTGAGAATGGGGCTTGACTGTAAATGGGCATTAGGGATATTTTGAGAACAATGGGAATGTTGTGAAACTAGATTGTAGCGATAGTTGCACAATCCCACATTACTAAATATCATTGAATTGTACACTCCAAGTGGATGAATTTTTTGGTTTGAAATTTTTATTTCCATAATGATGTTAAAACAAAGATTGAAGGTAAAAGGGCACGGACAAACAGTTCATACAATTTGACCCCAGATTCTATATCTGGCGAGCAATCCTAGGAAAATAGTACAATTCATGAAAGAGAAAAGAGATTAAGATATTCAAAGGGTTTGTTGTTGTTGTTGTTGTTGTTTACCTTTTTTATGGAAAAATAAATCACAAAAAAAGAATAGATATAGAAACATTTAAAAATACTGGACCATTGAACTGAGCATTGACTTGGGTAAGGCCACATATCAATGGTCACTCAGTAGAGGGTTGTCCTTTGGCCAGTTCTCCTGATAAGAAACATTCTCTGTTCTTAAAGTGTTCAATGGCTGTTGTGTGCCATAGTGTCAATTCTGACTCATAGCAAGCCTATATGAACTGCCCCACAGGGTTTCCCAGGTTGTAATCTTTACTAGAGCATGTCTTTTAATCCCATGGAGCCATTGGGAGGGTTGAACCACTGATCTTTTGGGTAGCAGCCAAGTGCTTTCCCATTGCACCACAAGGGCTCCTTGTTACAGACTATCAGAGAAGAAAGACAAGTATGTAATCTATGCTAATGCAGGATCCAGGTTCAATTTCTGGCCAATGCACCTCATATGCAGCCACCACCCATCTGTCAATGGAAGCCTGCATGTTACTATGATGCTGAACAGGTTTCAGTGGAGCTTCCAGACAAAGACTAGGAAGAAAGGCTTGGTGTTCTATTACTGAAAATCAGCCAATGAAAACCCAATTGATTACAACAGATTACAACCAATCATGGTGACAACGCAGGACCATGCATCATTTCATTCACTTGTGCTTGGTGTCACCCTGAGTGGGGCCGACTGAACAGCACCTAACAGCAGCAATGAATGATGGACCAAAATGCTGTGGAAATTACATTTTAATAGACCATGGCTATTTTTAAAATTCTGTGATTGTCTTTTCAAGTACATAGGGTATTTTGGTATTTTTTACATAGCATAGCAATTTATACACATAAAATAATGTCTTCCTTATATGAATACACTTTCCTCATGTGTCCCCGTTCTGTCTCATAAATGAATCAACTAAAACTCACTGACCACATCCCTTTCTCTTTACTGGCCTGATATTATAAATACAATTCTGACCAGTATGTAAATGCTCTTCATCATTATAAAATAAGCAAGTCTAAAATCTACCAAGACATGGCTGATGACACATTCTGGATATGTTACTATTATTATTATTATTATTATTATTATTTAATCGATTTAAGCCATGCCATTTACTTGGCCTTAAACAACCTCAGCTGTTTTGTGCACTGGGGCTCAATTCCAACTCGGCGTCCAATTTCTAAGGAGAGAGGAGAAAAACCTGTAATGACCTGGCTAGACTCCCCCCAAGGAATGCTTTCCATCACCTGCACCATCAACAGGACTTGCTCCTTTGGTTGCAATCCAGTCTTCATTGTGAAAGAGGAGCTGTCTTTATCACTTCAATTACCATTACAAGAAGGCAAATTATAGAGTTGTAATATGGTCCTTGGAGAAACAGTCCGCCTCTATGGAGATTTGGGGGACATCTATCTGAAAACTGATTGTTGGGAGAGAAATTTAAAACTGATCAGAATTTTTATAGCCCTTAGATATTTGTAAACAATACAAAGAATTTCTTCCTTTTGTGTTTGGTCTTATTTACCTATATAGTAAGTGGCCTGAACCAAGTCCACAGTGTTGTGGACTGAAATTAATACACCTCAAAATACCTAGACACATTATCTCATGTAAGCTTCACGTTCAACTAGTGAGATTTTTATCCAGCAGAGGACTTATGTGAAAAGAATTGTTCTGTCTCTTATCTATTCTTTTTCCATTCAGGAAAAATCTACTCATTTACAGGATAATTTATTTACTCTTCAATGACAAGATGTCATGCCTGTTTTAATCCAAGTTGCATAGAGACCTGTCCAAACAAAAATCTTAAGCAAATAAAATAAATGTAACTTGTTTTTTTTATCATGAAATCAAATATATATTTGAAATTCATTAATAGGGTTGTGAAGCTTTTTCTGAACATTTAGCTGCTGTTTTCAAATTAATCCCTTTACTTTGTTTCAGGAGAGAAACGCTGGGATTTGAAAATCCCCTTGTGTGGTCCTTTCATTCTGTCCCCAAATGACACCTACCCAATTCAGCCTAGAGAAGTTGCCTCCCCAGTCCTGATCCATTTATTCTTAACACTAAACTAAACTAAAGCCCACACTAAAAAAAAAAAATCAATAGATTGTACTCATTTGGGGGCATTAAGATTTCTGTTAAAAACCTGTTGTCATCCAGTCCTTTCTGACTCATGACTCCATGTGCATCAGAGGAGAACTGCTGCATCGGGTTTTCAGTGGCTGATCCTAAGTTGACCACATCAATGGACTCAAACATCCTGGTGATCATGAAGACGGTGCAGGACTAGGCAACGTTTCATCCTCTTGTATACAAGGTCACCATGAGTCAGACCCTACTCAACAGCAGCCAACAACAACAAGTGATTTCTATTGCTTTGCTTTGTTCTCAGCTTTGTTTGTTTGATTTTTCTTCCCAATTTCAGGTAATGGGGAGAGTGCCAACAATTTCCATTAATAAGACAGAAGGTTGTCACATATACCTCAGTGAAGATGCACTAGACTGTGATATTGTGAGTGCCAAGTCATCGGAAATGAACATACTTATCCCTCAGGATGGTGACTATGTAAGTATATTTGAAAAAGCTATGAAGAATTGTTTTTGAGCCTTTGTTATTAGAATCCTCAGAGATATATTGAATCAACTACCAAGCTATGAGCTTTATTGATGGAATAGTTCACAGGCAGGGCAGGAATTTAGGGAATTGCCTTTCACGCTTTCCTCTCCCCTGTTAGTTGCTTGATTGATTCAGTTCACTCCCGGACTTGCAAGGCAGTTTACTAATAATTACTTCAGCAGGCTAGCGTTTATCAAGTACTCCAGGCAGGAGAGTTCACATTATTTAGGACTCAATATTTTCCTTCAGTATGCTGCTTATAGGAGCTCTGGTGGTGTAGTGCCTAAGGCATTTGACTGCTAACTAGAAGGCTGGTGGTTCAAACCCATCAGCCACTCCTCGAAAGGAAGACTGGGCAATCTACTTCCGTAGAGATACCGCCTTGGAAACCCAAGTAGGGGTCGCTATGAGTCAGAACCGACTCAACGGCAATGAGTTTGGTTTTTTTGGTATGGTGAATATGGAATCCTTGTGGCACAGTGATTAAAGCACTTGGCTGCTAACCAAAAGGTCAACAGTTCCATCCCACCAGCCACTCACAGGAGAAAGAACTGAGGAACATTTTCCACAAAGATTACAGCCTTGGGTCTGGAATTGAACCCACACCTGTGGTTTCCAGCCAAACAAAATACAAGCATATGAATTGAACATTTACCTCAAGTAGATACATTCTTTGGAGAGAACAATTCATGGGAGAAAGAAGGACTGTTTATGCACAGGGAGACAGCTCAGGGGGCAGGAGTGTATGGAGGGATGGACACTGGGAAGAGGTAACTATGGGGAGGAAGTGGGAGGGGAGCTGTTGCATTGTGGTAAACTGTGGTCAATGACATGAGACAAAGTATATGTGAACTGCTGTATGGAAAGTGAATTTGCTCTGTAAATCTTCACCCAAATCACAATTAAAAAAAAAAAAAAAAAAAGATTACAGCCTTGGAAATCCTATAGAACAGTTTTACTCTGTCCAATAAGAACCATTGTGAGCCAGAATCAATTCCTTGGCAATGGATTTGGTTTTTTTTTGGGGGGGGGGGGGGGGCGGGTTAAAGAGAAGTTTTTATTCTGCTCTCCTGGGAGAGGTTTACGGTCCCGAGAGGGGCCCAGGGCAAAGTTCACAGGACCCTGAGAGGGACCAGAGAAGTCACCTGGATTTGGTTTTTGCCTGTGGTGTAGGCAAACAGTGGAAGGGTATGATAATAGACCAATTTGTGTAGGTAAATTTAAGTCAGATTCTCAATCTTAGCATAAGAATCATCTGAAAAGACTGATTCAAAAAAAAAAAAAAGTCAACTCCCAACCCTGCACCGAGAGGGTAGATTCAGGAGATTTGGAGTGGGGCCCACAAATATATATTTTCAAGTAGATGTTCTAATTCTAATGCCAACAGTCCACCAACAGCCCTTTTGAGAAACACTAGCCTAAGTGACTTTGCCACCATTACTTTTCTCTGCCTCCTCTCCCAAAGCAGCTCCTAAAAGAAGCATGCAGATGTTCTCACAAATGAAAAAGGAAGTATAAACAATAACATTTTCTTGATCATATGATGTTGTAAAACTGGAGGACTTACCAGTTGTTGCTTCTTGGAAGTAGGGAAATAAATAAAGAGATAAATCACTCTGATTCTTACTGTGCAGGAGCCCGGGGAATCACAGAAGGATGGGAGAAAACCTAATTGAACAGGCACACCTTTGGGAGGGGAGCGCACATCAGCCTGCAGGCCCATCACCAGCCCTCTCAACAGCTATCAGCACATAGATAGATTTCCTTAGGCAGACAGCATGGCTGCTGCCCATTTTCTTCTCTCCCCACCTAACGGAAAGTTCTTCAGCTCTACAGAGCCATTTGCCACACATCACATCCCCAAAGCCATCATTTTAGTTTAAAAAACAAAATTCTGCAAGCATTGGACCATGCTTCACTACTAGCTTTGTTGCTAGCCTAACCTTGAGCTCTGGTGGCATAGTGGTTAACTCATTCAGCTGCTAATCAAAAGATTGGCAGTTTGAACCCACTAACCACTCTGTAGGAGAAAATGAAATAGTGTGCTTCCGTAGAGATTTATAACCTTGGAAACCCTATGGGGCAGTTTTACTTTGTCCTATAGGGTCACTATGAGTCACAGTCAACTCTGTAGCAGTGGGTTTGGTTTTGTTTTTAACCCTGAGCTAAAGAAGAGCCCCTTCTTAGGTTCTCCACCTAAAAGACTACTGAAGACCTAGCAATTCCACTGCTAGGTATATACCCAAAAGACTTGAAAGCAGGGAATCAAACAGAGACTTGTGCACCAAAGTTCATGCAGCATTGTTCACAATAGCCAAAAGGTGGAAACAATCCAAGTGCCCACCAACAGGTGAACAAATAAACAAAATGTGATATATCCATGCAACGGAATATTACTCAGCCAAAAAGAGAAATGTATTTCTAATACATGCTACAACATGAACTTTGAAACATTATGCTGAGTAAAATAAATTACAAAAGAATAAAAACTATATTACCCCACTTCTTAAAAACACTTAGAATAGGAAAATGCATAGAGATAAAAGTTTATTAGTGGTTACCAGCGAGTGGGAAAGGGAAAATCGGCGATTAGTACTTTATGAGTACTGCATTTTTGCTTAAAATAAAAAAAAAAATTTGGAAATGTTGAGCAGTGATGGTTGCACAACATGGTGAATGTAATTAATGTACTGAATTATACACTTGAAATTGGTTAAAATGGTGTTTTGTTTTATATATATGTATATATATACCACAGTACAAAATTTTTTTAAAGAAATAAACAAGCCAACCTACTGAAGAGCTAAAGCCAGTATAAGAGAACAGTTTCAAAGAAGGAAAGCCAAAAATTAGAGTGTTCTCTGGTCTTGGCAGCTGTTTAAGCAGAAGGCTCAGCTACATGCAAACTGGATCTGCTAAAAAAGGCACTGGGGTTTGGATGAGCATCCAGACCAATTAAGCTAGAATCTCTGGGTGGGACACAGGATCTGTATTTTTTAAAGCTTCCCAGGTAATGCTGCTGTAGAGCCAAGAATGAGATCCACTGGTTTAAAGCGTGTGTATAAGTCAAAACTTGAGCTTTTGTGGTGAAAAAGTAGTTTTATCTATTGAATGCTACTTTGTGTCCTCAATACATGGCTCTCTTCATGCATTTTCCATTTGGAAGTGGTCAGGAGCAATACAGAGGTCCTGCCATGGGAAATATAATCTGGAAATGGAAGTCAGGGATGATGCATCCAGAAAGAAATCAGTCTCCCAGAGTTCTGTCATCTTACTTGTATTATCTCCATTGCCAAAAAAGATTTGAAATGACTGTAGTGCAATTACTGTCAAAGAGATGCTTTCACTCCAGAATATTCTTCTCCTGGCCTGAAACTTAAGAACCAAAACCAAGCCCCATTCACACAGCAGGTATAGTCCCAGAACCGGTTACCCACTTTCCTCTTAAAAAAAAAAAAAAAAAAGTGCTTCTTCCAAAAGATATTATTGGGTTCTACATCTAGGAAGATATGTGTTTGTTTATGTGTTCCACTGAAGCATCACGTCTCACCAGTGGATGAGAATACCAAACCAAAAACCCATTCTGTTGAGTTGAATTCCAGTTTACAGCCTCTCTATAGGGCAGAGTAGAACTGTCCCATGGGGTTTCCAAGGCTGTAAATCTTTACGGAACCAGATTGCCACATCTTTCTCCCAGAGAGCAGCTGGTGGGTTTGAACCACCAACCTTTCAGTTGGCCCTGCATCACACTGCATCAGATTTTGGCGAACACTGTGTGTAAAGTCCAGGGAGGCCACCAAAGTAAGATCCATGAGGGCTGTTCCTGGCTCTCCTTTTAGATCCCCTTCTGAAATAACTGGGTGAAATGACTGGAGAACCACTCTCGAGAGAAAGGAGAGATTCCAACCTACTTTTATTTGTGCATATTTGTGTGTAGGTGGGTAGGTGAGTATGTGGGTGTCCCAATGAGAAGAGTAGGGCAATCATGTGAAGGGTAAAAAATTTATATACAATTCTAAGCATGTTTGTATCCTTAATATGGTCAGGTACTCAGTTGCTGTTGAGTCAATGGTGGTGTAGTACCTAAGGCATTTGACTGCTAACAAGAAGGCTGGCAGTTCAAACCTACCAGCCACTCAGAAGGAAGACTGGGCAATCTATTTCAGTAGAGATACTGCCTCAGAAACCCAAGGAAGGATGGCTATGAGTCGGGATCAACTCGATGGCAGTGAGTGATGTGTGTCAAAGTAGAACTGTGCTCCATTGGGTTTCATTGGCTAATTTTCTTTTTTCCAAGATGCCTCTGTGTGAGCTTGAAACACCAAGTCTTCAGTTAGCAGCCAAGTATATTGTGTTATCCTTTTGCAATGCTCAGGTCTCCAGAGTAGCCAGGTAACACTGGGATGAAGCCTTGCTCTTCGAAATGTGATTAGAGATCAGCAGCCTCAGCACCACCTGGGAGCATGTTGGAAATGCACCTTCTCGTTCTCTTTCCCAGACCTACTGAATCAGAATCTGCACTTTCTTAAGATTCCCCGGTTGATTGATGTGTGTGTTGAAGTTTGGTGGAGAGTAATGGGTAAGAGGGGCTGCCTAGGTTTAGATTCTGGCTCCTCACATTGTTAGTGATATCACCGTGGGCCAGTTGCTTCAGCTCACCAGGCCTCTATCTCCAGTAGATAGATACCCACTAGTATCAAGTTGATTCCAGGTCATAGTGACCCTATAGGACAGAGTAGAAGCCCCATCGGGTTTCCAAGGCTGTAACTCTGTAGAAGCAGACTGCCTCAAACCACCAAGCTTTTTGCTCAGCAGCCAAATGCTTAACCACTACTCCACCAGAGCCCCTTGTGTCTTGTAGATGGATCTCTGAAGCCTAGCTCATAGGGTGGTTGCACAGAGTTAACTGAGTTCATACATGCCCAATGCTTAAAAGAATACCTGGTTCTTAATAAGTGCTGTACTGGCTGGCACGAAGCTTGCTAGTAGATGCTTCTCAACACAAGAGTGATTTTTGTTTGTGCCTTAATCAATCCATAGTGCTAAAAAATCTGCAACTTCTTGGATCACATGTAAGGATAGTACAATGCTTGCAGACCCAATGCAAGCTTGTATATTGTACCCTTCAAATATGCCATTTCCATTTTCTAAATATCTTCTATATCCATATAATAGTCAAATTACTAATGCTCCTGTTCGTAGATTTAGCTATAAAAGTTTTATCCAGTGCAAGTCTCCCTGTGACATGAAATGACTGTTGCAGGGAAGTACAGACAACCCTCCACAATCCAGGTTTAGGTGCAATCAAATGTCCTTGTCCATCATATGGCACTATTCATATATCCACTTGTTTTCCAAAGGAAGGGTCAGTTATTGAAATAGCTTTGTTCTTCTTCCAGAGAGAATTTCCTGTTCCCGAACAGTTCAAGACGGTGTGGGATGGATCCAAGTTGGTCACTGAACCTGCAGAAATTATGGCCTAACCTCCAGAGTGAAGGAAGCTCCTGATTCCCTGAACCCTCCCATATCCAAAAAAAAAAAAAAAAAAAAGCAGCATTAAAGATCTAGAAGTTGCAGTAACACCACTGCTTTTGTTTGGGCCTCCAGTAATTCTGTGCTGTAGAAACATCATTGTTTCTGGCATACTGTGGTGGGCATTTTTGATGTATTCGATATTTCTTCATGATTTGCCTTTGTGTGTGATTTTAGTTCCACAGGACTTGTGAGCATTACAGATTTTAAGGGAAAAAAAGAATTCTGTTCCCCTCATATATCATTAACATAATAACTGATAGGTAAAAATACTGCATGATTCACTTTTACTCTTATGTTTAATTGCTATTTGAAAATTAAATCTTTGAGAGCCTAAGATGTACATTTTCACCTCTTAGGTAATTTCAATATGATGTAGTAATAGTGAACCCTGAAAAGTGTGCGAGTTTTTTGTTATTTTTGACCCCATGTTCACTTTCATCAGCATGAATACATTGTCAGGTGTGAATACTTATTTCTGCCCACATTTTGAAAAAAAAAAAAAAAAGAAGAAGAAGACATAAGAAAATTTCATATTCAGGGCCAAATTTACTTTCTTGGTCTTTGGAAGACTATTTCTTTATAGTTACTTAAAACTCAGAGTAAATTCTGATTATTCATCTTACACTTTTCTCTGCCATGTCGCTTGAAAAACTTTTATGCATAAAGATTTTTATGCCAAAAAGTTGGTGGGAGGGAGCTGTTTTCCTTGATATATAATACCTCACAGTTTTGCTCTAAAAATCAAGCTCAGTTTTTGTTTTTCAAGTTTGAACCTGTAAATGATGTCTTTGATGTTTCACTTGCCAGACTTGCTAGCCAGTTGCAAAAAAGAACATGGAAAAGCCATAGATATATTACTTCTCCTAAAACCTAAGGAGTTGGTTAGCTTGGTTTGCTGCTCCTATTTTGTAGCCTGATAGTATGTGCTTTTTCAGTACAAGAGTGACTGTGATCTTGGTTTGTTTCTTTTTGGTCCACAGTGCTAAAAAATCTGCAACTTCTTGGATCACATGTAATGAATTATAGTGCAATGCTTGCATACCCAATACAAGCATATATGTTGTGCCTGTTACAGCTTTTGGAATACACCATTTCCGTTTTTTAAATCTCTTCTCTATCCATATAGTATTCAAATTACTAATACTCGTGTAACCAAGGTTTTGTTACAAAAGTTTGGTCCATATGAATAATGTTGTGGCTTTAGTTAATAGCGTTTTTCAACTGTAAACTTATTCTGAAATAAAGTAAAATTCTAATTGTTTAAGTACCATGAGTAATTCTGGGTGTTAAATTGTTTTTCCCTCGCTATGATTTGCCCCTTGCTCATATCAGATTTAGGGAATACAGTTGAGTCTTTCTGGTTGAATCAAAGAACTTATCCAGCATTCCATCGGCTTCCAGATGTCTTTGAGACAGAGATCAGATAAAGCAATTTGCAGTTGGAATGAGTTTTCAGTCAGAAAATTCTAGGACCCAGTGTTATGATCACCCTGACAGATCTTTGTTAATGAAGACTTCTCAGCAAGCAAGTTTATTATTACTGATATTGAGAGAAATATTCTGAAGGACAAAAAATTTTAAATGGAAATAAAAGACCCTTAAAAAGGACATGTTACACATCCATTGTATAGCAATAATTTCATATTAAGAACTATCCTTTCAAAATTCTTAGAATCTGGCTTTGAATTTGGCATCAGCCATTCAAAACACATCATCACAGATATCGACAATCTGGACTTGAGTTTCAAACAATTATTACCAGCTTTGTATGCCATAAGTCACCTACTGGCTTTTCAATAGGTTGAATTTATTGGGGCTGGGTGTGGGGATGGGGGCAGAAACAACCTTGTCAAAGTATAGAGAATAAAACAAAGATTGAGGGTACTGCATTCATAATATGCTTTTTCCCTGCACATTGCTGAATTCCAGTGTTACCAATACTGTAAACTAGTAAATATCCTCCAAAGACAGAAATCCATACTTAGCAGAATTGCATGTGACATATATTCACAAAAAGTCAAAAACAAAAGTCTTACATCCATAAGTGCTAAGGGTCTCCTATATCTCTTTACTTTGCTGTATTCCATGATAAAAATGGTAAAAAAAAAAAAAAAAAAAAAAAACTATTCAAAAGTGATAGATCTTCTTGTCTTGAAAATCTATTTCTTGACATTGTTGTTAGTTGCCAACTCATGGCAACCCAAGTGTGCAGAGCAGAACTGCTCCTTTTGCAAAGAGATCACCAGGCCTGTCCTCTAAGGAGCCTCTGGATGTATTCAAACCACCAACTTTGCAGCTGGTAGAGTGCTCAACCATTTGTGACACCCAAGACTCCCTTGGCATTACTGTCCTTATTCAATAATCTATTACTGACAGCCTTCCTTTCACAGCCAAACATCTCAAAGGGTGTAGTCAATGCTAATCTCTTCTTATCTGCTGAAATTCTTTCTAGAACTGTCAGGAAAAAAGTATGGTTTAATTTATTTACTCTTTCATTCATGGAAATAATAAACCTCAGCTTCTTAGAATCTAGAAGAGTTTATCTAGGGAACCCCTCAATTTAAAGACAAGAAAGCCAGGATCCAGTCACCATAGCAATTTGCCTAAGAAGAGACAGCGGGTTAGAGGCAGAACACACACCCCCTTTTTATAACTACTACAATTTGGCTTCTAGCCTTACCTTGTTTCTGAAATCCCAAAGGTCACCAAATCCAATGGCTTTAGCTCATTGCTCATCCATCAAGATTCTTAATACTATACTTTTCCTATTAGATTCCCATTGATTTTATGATGGGTGCTGTCGAGTCGATTCCAACTCATAGCAACTCTTTTTGTTCTCTAGTGCTGCTCTGACAGAAAATACCACAAATGGATGACTTTAACAAACAGGGATTTAGTCTCTTACAGTTTAGGAGGCTGGAAGTCTGAGTTCAAAGTGCCATCTCTAGGGACAGGGTAAAAGTCCCCCAATCTTGGTCTTCAGCTCTGCCTCTTACATCTGGCCCACTGAAGCTGGAGGGTTCTCTTAACTCAGACAGCTGCTCGCTGCTAAGGCTGACAAACCCAAGGTCAACAAGTAAAATGGCACAGTCCTAATATTACCAAACGACATGCCAGACCACTAGTTCAGAGATAGTCCCAAGATCAGCAGGAAACATGGCAGGCTGCTGAACGAAGACTCAGCTATACACAGGGTCCAAGTGTGCCAAAAAGCTCAGAGAGCTTTCTCAGTGCTTCTCCTTATATACTAGAAACAGACCACATCCTGAGGCATCTACTCAGCTGCTCACTGCAGATTGCACCATGGAGGTGATTACCAGTCTCATGGGGAATAACTGCACCCAGCTGCCCAGTCACTCAAAATGAAGCCCAGCCAAGTTGACACGTAACTTTAACTACCACAGCAACCCTATACAACAGAGTAGAACTGCTCCGTGGGGTTTCCTAGGCTGAAATCTTTACAGGAGCAGATCACCAGGTCTTTCTCCTGTAAAATGGATGGTGGGTTCAAACCACTGCCTTTCAGTTAGCAGCCAAGCACTTGGCCATTGCACCACCAGGGCACCTTTGATTTTGTGACACATGATGCAATTCTCTCAATCCTCTCCAATCAACCTTTTTATTCCCTCAATGCTTATTTCTTTCCCTTAACTTCATCTATTAGGTCTATGTAGATGATTCCAAAATCCATGTGCCTAATCCAAATCCATCTCCCCAGATTCTTAACTCCAAGTGTTCATGGAATATTCTACCTGTTATCTCAACTTCAATCAGCATGGCTACAATTCATGCTCATCTCCCACACATCCATATTTTCCTTATCTGGCTTTCCTGTTTCTGCCAATGACCTAGTACCAGTTTCTGTCAAGTCAATTCCAACTCATGGCGACCCCATGTGTATCAGAGTAGAACTGTGCTCCTTATGGTTTTTAAGGGCTGATTTTTCTGAAGTAGATCACCAGGACTTTCTTCCGAGGTGCCTTTGGATGGATTCAAACCTCCAACCTTTCAGTTAGCAGTCAAGTGTGTAAACCTTTTTGCACCACTCAGAGACTCTCTCTGTCAATGACCCCATCATACTTTTCATCATAGACTTCAAACCAACCATTTCCTATGATAAGAAACACTGAAAGAGAACCATAACTGGGGGAAAAAATACATGGCTCAGTCTTGAAACATGTTTAATTCAGGGTATCTTTGTGATGTTTAATTGGAAATGGAGAGTAGGCAGTTGGATATAGGGTCTGGAGTGGAGCCTTTTCCCTTGTCTGCAATACCAGATCCTTAGGAATAATTTCATAAGTTTAATATTCCAAAAATGACTTTTATTAAGCATGTCCATTTTGAAAGAATTCTTTTAAACCACTGGAACTTTCTGCACCACTTCAGATATAGATGCAATTTTAAGGACTTTAATTGCTTCCACTAAGACAAGCTGATTTTATAATCTGCCACAGATTTCTTTTGCAAGTTAACTGTTTCATTGTTTCTGTGTATATTGAAGCTTATATCTATGCCACATGTGGAAAGAAAGCCAGGTCAAACTAGTCCGTGATAATGCAGCCAGATTTCTTCTATTGGTTTTTGTTCTTCCACTTTTTGTTTAGTAACTTAGCACAGAGTATGTAACCAACCAAGGGTAACCTTTGCATATGAGTAGAAATTTTTTTCCAAGTTTCACTTCACTAAAATATATCATTGTATCTTTAAAGATAAATTTTGCCTAAAACCACAACTTGGAATATTTTAATCCTCAGTCCACTTTAATACTTTGGTTTTTAGGACTATCATAGCCAAAAAAATGATACTTCACAATGATATGGAGATCCATATGAAGTACATCATTGACCACACTTACTAAATAATATTCATTTTTAAATCCCATTCACCAATATCACAAAGGTTTCTTCATCGAAATTCAGCTAGTAATGATAGCAATCATTTAGTCTGTTAAATTAATGGGAAAGTGTACATTTTTAAAGTGTTTTGTTATCTTTAATAACAACTCTATGACTTCATTTCTTGCACTCAAAGGTCAATAAACCTATCATAGGATGTCATCTCATGAAGATAACAGTTCTGGAGATTATTTGTGAAGGGAGAGAAATGCCCCTGATCTTTACTGTTGATTGTCCCTGGGGGGTATAATCATGTCCTCATATAATGAAAGGCGCACATCCCCTAGCAAAGGCGATGCTAATGACATGCAGCTATTATGACATCCTCTGCATAGGGCACTTCTCTTGAGTTTAAAAAGATAGAGAGATATTAGAGTCAGGTATATGCAGGCTTTCCAAGGGAGTGATCTACAATCAAGCATGAAAAAATTTGTCAGTCCTTTATGGATATTTAAAGACATTGTCCAGAAGACTTATAAAAAAAATGTGTAGGGACCTGGAAAGAGTCATAGTGCAAACAGTAGACACATTGAGCTATTGAGCTTCTTGCTGAAAAACTGGAAGTTCAAGTCCACTCAGAGTTACCTCAGAAGAAATACCTGATGATCTACTTCAAAAAATCAGCCATTGGAAACCCTATAGAGCACAGTTCTACTCTGACACACATGGGTCACGTTGAGTTGAAATCAA